GTGCGACAGGACGCGCTATCCGAGGTTCTAAAAGCCTCAAAAGGAACTGAAATTGGCACGTAGTTCCGTTTAGCAGAAATATACGTGCATTCTTAATTTTTTTTCGGCTATTTTATAATTTTTCCCATCGTAGAACGGTTTTTGACGGAGCTTAGTTACAATTATTAGTTCGTTAAACAGAGTGAGCCCATCTCTTCCTTTAAGGAGGAGATGTTTCAAGTTTTTGTATTAGAATTTTAGCCTCTTTTACCGTTACCATAAGATTTATTTTAACCTCTCTCAATATAAATGCTGTAGTCAAAATATTATTCTAAAATGTTTAATTGTGCTCTTGATTAATTAGTCTAAATATGTCCTCATGGGAGTCGTGCCTCCAGGAAGTAATGGTTACGTCAGAGGAAAAGTATCTCGCTCTTCTAGGAACTTGGACTATTTGTTGACGTGTGCAACAGCCACGTTGAGGCCCTCCCCCCTCCCTGGAATCTTGTATAGGGAAGAACTCCTTGATTTCCTCCTATTTCAGTCCAGACGATTAAGGAATTCCCACTGACCTGCTGACCTCATAGTCGTCTAATTACCATAGCTTTTCAGCATTAGTTTTCCTTTCGCTCTCTCGTAACACGACTTGTCCGTGTTTTGTCAATTTGGCAAAATCACCACGGAGCATCTTGATATAATTAAACCTTGCACAACTATCCTTCTGTGAAAAGCCTCTGGAGTTCCCTGGAGCGTGGTTATAAGCATTGGTTCCGAGCAAAAAAATCCAAATCAGTTTTAGACATTATTACGAAAGGAAAACAATGACTTAAAATAATGTCCAAAGGCAAATTTTTTTAGTCGAGTGAGGAGGGTAGACCAAAATAAAATTTAAATGCGAGCGATTCATTCTAATAGGAAGAGAAAATTCTAAACTAGACAGAAATATCCGGAAACATACGAACCAGCTATAAAAGGACCTCTTGATGATTTCCTAAAATTCAAGAGTCCTTCTTAAAACCACCACGTCATCAGAATAGTTACTGCCGGTTACCACAACTGCCGAGAACGAGGGCCACAATCAACTCGCGCATCTTTTCAGAGTATTGTCGTACACTGAAATCACTTCAAGTTGAAGTAATTCCGCAATGCTCAAAGTACATTAGCATTGTTGACAATGCTCATGGCGCGGTGCGCGACGTCCCAACATTGTAGGTGATGACTGAGCGCGAACAAACTTTATCTATGTCAAGTTCGGTGGCCAAGTATGGATGATCGATTATCGATTGCCCATTTGAAGCTATGGTAAAGAATAGATTATCAACATGTTTGTTGTGAACACCCTGTTTATTGATCCTTTTCCATGGGTTTAAATGATATACAAATTGATTTATCGCAAAGCACACCACGCCACCAATTAAGTCTTTACCCATGGTATCCAAAATTTATGAGCCACTTTAAATAAAAGCTTTTATATATGATACTCTTAAATTGTAATAATATAAAAATTCTTATATGTTAGTAAATTTTGTGACAGAAAACTCGTTCTTATTTTTAATTAACCCTGATACAAAAGGTAGAAGATTATAATCTTTACTCATATTAAATTTATATTTTTTTCAGCTTGTATTTAATTAAATTTTTAAATAATTTAATGTTAATTAATTTTTAATTTTTAGTCAATTAGTAATTATTTTTGGTATAATTTTAATATCAAAGACAAAGATAATTAATTTAATCATTTAATACCTAATGCCATTCACTCGTTTGACTGTATTTCTGGTGTAGAACAGAGCAGATCCGTATTGTCACTTCATGCGATTGCGTATTTTTCATGCTTCCCGTATTGGGCCTAGATAAACCGGACGGAGTAGTCTTGCACATGACTAGAAGAAGAATAGGCAACACTTTCTGTCAAAATTGACTACACTGCTCTCGTTGGAGGAGGGAAACGGAAGACGCGACGTGACGGGACTCTTTTTCTGCTACCATGCCACCGTCAGCCTTGATTGGGCGTTCGCAAAAAGCGCAGAGCTTTCGTCGCAATTCAAGTGCAAGGTGTCCATCGAGTCTTAGTGCCGAATGACATCTACACCCTACCCCCGGTCCGCGCTACGCGATGAGATTGCAAAGCGATTCCTAACGATGATCCGGGTTCCCGTGCTTCTAGCCAGCGCTCAGCGGGTACGGGGAAGTTTTGGCCTCTGCTGAAGCTTTTCTAGGGTCGGATTTCGATCGAGACAATAAATTATATACTTCTTCTTACGAATGTTCTGCATTGGGTCCCCCCTGGCGAAAAACGTAGAGGACGCCCTGCTAAATCGTGGATTGATGGAATAAGTCAGGATATGAGGAGATGCGATTTGCCGGAGGAGCTCTAAAGCTCTAAAGCATATTTTTTTTCCATCAATTAAAATGAGAATAATCCATACAGAGTGTGCAAACATTTCAAAATCATGAGTTGAAAAACGCTGACTCCGCGAGATTAAATATTAGAGCCTAACACAAAGCGGAGCGGCGACGCGCTGGCGCCTACAAACCTAATAGGGATACTTCACGCATTGCGCAATGCGTGAAGTATCCCTGTTAGGTTTGTAGGCGCCAATGCGCGTTTGACGCTCTCTGCCCGCCGCGCCGTAGCGTGCCACGACGTCTGAAGCAACTATTTCACACCAGAGGTATTGCACAGTATCATAAGAAACTGAAAGCGCTCCAACATATTAAGAATGACAGGCATCCTTCAAAAGTACGGAGCTTTCCTCGCAAAATAAATCAAGATACTACGGCACAAAAAGAGAGCGGTAGTCCAAAAACTAACTAAGTCCTAGTATCCGTATATAGTAACGTTTAGCATAAACTTATCGTCTGGCTGTTGCTTCGTAGCCATCGGCTATAAAAGGCTATAAGAAATTGTACAGCCGGCTACAGAAGCTATTGGAAATCTTACAGACGGCTTTAGGTCTGTAGTATTTTGGAACACACATTCTACTGCCAATTTTTACCAGGGTAAGGCTCAGCACTACTGTCTTTAGTTGACTCTATTTTATCTAAAAAGTTAAGGGTCAGCGCTAAGTTGTTTTTGCCGTGTATCGTGGTGGATGACGTTATACATCCTGCTCTTCGGGGGGTAGTATATCGACGGTGAAACTACCAAACCACGTATCTCGTTTGCGGTGTTTAAAAATCTATGCTCACATTTTATTTTTTTGAAGTAGACCAAATCAATATCATTCCTTGAAATTTTCACGGAATTTTCTCCGCACAAAGAGGAAAAATCACAGAAATTTTCAAGACTGGATGTTAAGTAGTTTTTCATTTAAAAAATAAAGTATGACAGGAAGTCTGCGACGTCGCAAACCGAGATACGTGGTTTGGTAGTTTCACCGTCGATATCTCCGTTGATACTTAAAGTAGGATCTAGAAGTAAGGACAGATCGTATTATTTTTTGCCAACCCATGAGTGAATGCACCAAAACGGGATTCTGGTATTCAAGCAACCGTGCATGGCTCGATTATAAAATTATAGCAGCACGATAAGACAAAACATAACCTTACCTTAACCATGCAATATATCGCATTTCGATATCTTATCAAGCCGCTGTAAACTATCATTAATCGGACCGCAGGCCCAATAAATGATGGAAACTCTACCATATAAAACACTTTCCTTATCTTTTAGGTATTTCAGTATAGCATTACTTATACTATACACTGGAAAAAAAAAACACATTGGATCTAGAGTCCAGACTCTTAAAAACATTGACAAGAAAAAATACTCTTGATTCAATCAGATTTAAGCTTAAATTAAGAACCAAGCCTCTTAATTTGAGCGGATGTCCTTTTGATTTAAGCTTAAATCTGATTAAATCAAGAGTCCTTTTTCTTGTCAATGTTTTCAAGAGTCTGGACTCTGGATCCAATGTGTTTTTTTTTCCAGTGTAGCTTCTTTCCTGCTCGGAATAATGAAATATGAATGGTTTAAAATCAATAACAAGAAAAATTCTCAGTCTGCTTGTGAGATTAACTTTATTGAAACATAATTTTTCAACCCTTCGCGGAGAGGTTCCACTTCTAGAGGTTACGAGCTCACAGGGATCAAAGATCCCCGAAGATATAAGTGCCGAGAATTCCCGGGGAGACTCCCGGAAACATTTTCATCGCATTTGCAGAATAAGGGTGAAGACCGTGAGGGGGTTGGTGTATATGTTGCGGGGGTGCTTATATTTTCGTTCATCGTCTCGTCGAAAAATTCAATTTTGCCGAATGCTATCGGGGAGTTCCGAGAACGCACCCCCGCGATTCTTGCATAGACTATTGCCCTCTCCCACTTTCCGTTCCCCCTCCCCCACCTATGAGCCACCGCGATTTTCAGGAATGCAACCAGTGTTCGAGACTCATAGGCGCCAACGCGCCAAATGCGCCCAAGAAATCGGTCATGGCACCTAAAAAATGAAGGCTTTGCGCCAACGTGGCCCCTAAGAATTGCCCTTGTCCCCTCCCCCAAAAAGTCCTAATTTTTCTGTTTGGTGATGTTTCGAAATTTCCCGTAAGTTACAGTCACTAGTCCTGTAACTAAAACATCTTGCGTTTAACGTATTTCTAAAAGCGCTGTGATATATACGCAAAAAGTCACTCTGGCCCCTAAAAAATCTTCAATGGCCCCTAAAAATCACGCTTGATGCGCCACATGGCGCCTGAAACTCAAAGGTGAGTCCCGGACACTGAATGCAACGTACACAGTTTCCCTAAGCTTCAGACCTCGAAACGCCGAAATAAAGCTATATTTGGCAACAGAGGAAAATCAGTTTTTTTATTCCACGCAACTGGCAACACTGTTTGATTCGCATTATCATTAGACAACAACCTGTTGAGTTCTCGATCTTGCTCTTGGCAATGGAAAACCGAGCATGATGCGGTGCCCCACCCGGGTGGGGGGAGTGGTGGCGGGGGGCGGGGGCGTCAGGAGGGAGGGGTGAAGGTCTTGTTACTGCCGCCTTCCTTCTTCAGAGTTTTCAATTTTTCAAATTTTCTTAGCCAGTCTACCGACTCTCCGCTGATCGCTGGGTCTCCGAGATTGCGGACCGAGCGACACCGCGAAAATCGGAACCATCTGCAGATTTTCCACTTGGTTCTTGCATTCTCAACGTTGCAGTGCAACACTCGGACCATACGTCCGGTTTAATTGTTCACGTTTGGGCGAGTTTTATAGGCTATTTTTTCGCGGGATATTCGGTGCCTCGAAGGATCAACAGTGAGGTAAGTTTCCCCCGAAAGTGCACTCTAAATATTTTTCAGAACGGTGGGTCGTCTTTCTTCCGCCCCCTTCCAAGCTTACCGTTTTCTTGCATCTTCAAATATGGGGATTGAATTGACTGATTTTACTCTTAAGTGTAATTAGCCCACTAAGTTTTCATACCTAGTATTCAGGATGAGGAGTAGGTATCTATCAGTCGGGTAAAGAATTTTCCTAAACATGATCAGGAAATGTGACATCAAAGGATGAACATCTAATCGCATCATCAAGCAGTCTCGTAGTAGTGCATTCTGTAAATCTTGGTTTTCCGCCGCGCCTCGCCACACTACAACGCTAAAAATACGTGCTTTCTATCTTCAATTAGTGTTGTGGCAAGAGACTCATCATATCAACCAGTTTAATTATCTACCTCGACATATTTCCGGACAATTAAAATGAAAGAGGGGCTCGTAACTTTAAAATTTGGGGTTATCCTAAAAATTTTGAAATTATTTCATCAAATTTAAAAAGTCCTATAATTTTACCCCAAGTTGGTGTCAAGAAATCCAAAACCGGCCCATTTTAATTCGAAATATTGACCCCCGAAAGTGGGGGATACAGCTCCCCACCCCAAAATTCAATGTCGCTTAATTGGTGCGTAGGCTCAGGAATACGATGTTTTCCCATGGTAATCGACCGCGAGGCCCCTCAAACATTTGCCAGTGTGGTATAGGAGGACCCTAAATTTAAAACATGTAAAAAATTACGGAATTTTGATTTCCTCTTATACTGTTACGTACTTTAAGTTCAATTTAGAACTAGCCGCAGGTAGCCTCAAATTATGATATAAGGATTTAAGTCCGCGCCATCGCAATTTCTTTGAACTTTTTTGAAACGATTTTCATGAATTATGATTTAATTACACTCGTGCGAATTGCAAATCCTATTACACTTTCTGTGCGTTTCCTTGTTAAATCTGTTAGTACCTAATGAATTATCCGATTTCTTTTTTTAAAAATTTCCTTTCACATTGAATTTCGACATGAAAGGTATTGCAACGGTAAATTTTGAGATTTACATTTACGCAGTTTACTTTTTCTGAAGATTAAGCAGCATAGTTGGAACATCAATTAATAGGAACTCCTAAGCTTTTGAGGGAAAAAAGAAGAAAAACAGGGTATACCCGGAAAAATATATAAATCAGAACTGTTCCTTGTTGGTTCTTTATTGAATCTTAACCTAATTACAGAGGTGTTAATGGCCCTAGATGCCAAGGCACCGTTTCAAAATAAACGTATATTACTACTACTATTAATACTACTTCTATTACAGCTACTTGGTTTCTTTTTTCAGGCAGCTGAGTCGCATTTTAGGTAGCAATTGATAAATTAGCGCCTGTAACACAATGATCGCCATGCTTCCCTCTTTGAGTGTCTGTCTTCTGGTCATCAATTTCTGTTTAACCGATGCTACCTTACGTAAGTATTTTATCTCACAATCAATTTGTTTTACATACCGATGATAGAACCGGAAAATGCGCATCTTCACATTACTTAAAAAAAAAAAAAAACGAAACATCTGTATAATCGTCTTCAACATTATATTTTTTCTGGGCATTGTATTAGATAAGTGAAAACAATTCACCAGAAAGAGCTTGATGCAAAAACGGCTTTTTTCGCCCCCCCTCTGGAAGTTCTTCAGACTTTGTCTATTGATTACTCATACTTGAGCGCTTCTTTTCCTAAATTTTCAGACCCCCAAAAAATTTCTGGGGGGAGCTAGGGGGGGGGTGGAAGTCAAAACCTGTGAACCTCGATATCTCTTGAACAAAGAAAGATATTGAGGTCCGGTTTGGACGAAAAATCGTTTAAAATTGCATACTTTAAGATTCATAAGGTCGAAATCCCGATATCACATTTTGAAGTCAACATATGTGCTTTTTTCCAGTTTGTAGGTCTAGAAAATTTCTTTTAAACAAAAAATTTACAAAGATCTCAATTTTTTATTTGAACCAAAACCAGTTTTTTAAATTGTTCGTCTTTTTCCGCATCCAACGAGTGGTCGTATAAGCTGGGGAACCGAACGGTTCCGGAGTTATGATCGATTGAAGTTTCCGCTCAACGCGCGCCGACCGATTTT